GGTGCTCGTCTTGTCTTCCTTCGTCCCAAACCACATCCTTTCGCGTTTATTATATTGCCCGCACAATTTGTTAACAAACTCTGAAAAGCCCGTTGTATTGCTCAGACCATTTAGCCCACCGGCCACTACAACATCGATTATAGGACTTCCATTCGCTCGTTTATCCGACCACTTACGCCTTCAGTGCTCGCACAACAAGCAACAACTCCCTCGAACAATTGCCACTTTGCGTCCACAACGTCTACGCCTTACGTGCAACCAACCGCCTCGCAATCAAAACCAGATGCCCTCGAACAACGCCTCCGCCACATCCCACATTCGGCCGGTCACAATGCTCGCAACCGAGATTTTCAACGACCTGGATGACTCAGTCGAGGAGCTGAACTCCTGGCTCGCAATATATCGTCGCCTCGTACGTACAGCGCCTCCGTCGCTGCTCGAGATCGCACAGACGACGCTCGATGCTATGCACGATGTCTACACCAAGCGCGTGAAGGAGCAAGATCAGGTGGGTGCAGAGCTGGTAGGCGCCGAGCGCGGCCGCGCGATGGCTCGTGTTGATTTCGTCGCCAAGGAACACGGCCTCTACGGTAGCCATGGCGGTGACAATGGCAGTGGCGACGCGCAAGGTCAGCCTCTTCCCGCTCGCCGACGTGAGTCACACCTGCCTGAGCAACTTGGACGTCGCGACGTGAACGTCCTGGTAACTTTCCTACAGAATCAAGGTGAGTTACGCTTGTCTGACGTTCAAATATATTGACACTGATGCTCTGCGTAGCTCTGGCCCGCCCACTGAATCCTGGACAGCTGACACATATCCTTGGGTACAGCGACCAACCACCCAGAGAGAATAGCGTTCGACAAGCAGCTCGTACAGTGATATCCACTGCCGTTCAGTTCGCGTCGAACAAAACAGCGGCTGATACGACCGAACAAGATGCCGCCTTGTCTCGTAACCATCCCTTGTCCTTCCAGTGCGACCAGCCTTCGGGCCGAGCCGATCGCCTCTCCGTTCCAGTCGCCACGAACGGCCCCGACTATCGCGCGCGTTCTCCCCCTCAGCTTTGGGCACTCGCAGCTAAGATCTTCTATTGCCGGCCCGCTGCGCACGCTAATGCCGTCATCGGAAGTAGCGGGTACGGCAAGTCGTCGGCCTTTCAGATGGAGAACCAGAAGGGGAAGAAGAGGGCACTCGAGGTCGAGAATGTCGATAAGGAAAATGTCGATGAAGAGCACGGCAGCGACGAGTGTGATCGTGAAGGTCCCAGGCCTAAACGCAGCAGGTGCAGCGCAGGTTGCTCGTCCGTCCGCCACCACTTCAGCCATGTGCACATGAAGGTGAACCGAGAGAGCGATGACCGAGTCCATGTGGTCGGTCTTGCCACCATCTCTCTAGTCGCGCCCACTCCAGGTGTCGCTCCCGTTCTTACCCTTGTGCCAGCCGCTCCGGTTGTTGGGCCGGTGCCGGTGCCGGTCGCACCGGTCGTGCAGCCAGTTCAACCCGCCCTCGTCCTTGTACCTCCCCCACCTGCCGCACAAGCTCAATCTGCCCCTGTCCATCTCTCGCCAGTCGCCTAAGCAACTGCACACCGCCCTGAGAAGCCGTACCACGCCGTGCTCTACTCCGGATTGTCGCAGGCCAGCCAGTGACAACGCTGAACCCCAAGATGAAGCTTGGCTTCGTCGTGTTGTAGCAGCGCATAGTCATCTTCCCAATGTAGCGCAGGTATATGTCTTGGGCTTGTCGTCGAACGCGAAAAAGTAGTTAACTTCGTCCATAGTTCTTTGTCGCGCACCTCCGGGCGAGCAGCCTCGAGGTCGACTCAAGCTGACGGTCTGCAGATAAGATAACACAAACTCCTCTCACCGTGAGTATCGTCGTAGGGGGAATGCTGTAGCCGAGCACTCTGTCGTGGGAAGGATATATGAAGGGAGAAGGAAAGAACCAGAGAGAGCGTTTTGGACGAAGTAACGTCGTGGCGTTCCTGATCAATCGGGGTGTTCACGTGATCACCTGGCCTAGACCCCGGATTGCGACAGCCTCGTCTGGACGCTATCTCGACCAGCGAGCTTGCAATCGTGCACGCATGTCTGACTCATGTCTGGTAGTACTCCATTTCATCGTGTTATCTTGTCAACGCAGCCAGAGCTACTCCTTACGCTGATGGCGCCATCAGGACGTAGATCTATCTTAGCGTGACTGTATGTCTTCGAAAGCAGCGGACGAATCGCGCCGGGCTCGGCTGCGGGTATGTTACATGATGAAAATTATAATTTTTGACTCTCCTTATGGCTGTTATCGCTCTCATGCCCGCTGCAGTTGCATTTAGCACGATTGTGCGGACCTTGCGGAAGTGTGTACAGTGGGCGACTAGAGTGAGCGTGAAGGTCAGGCTTGATGCGATCTCCTTCATGAAACACTGCTCCAATCTCTCTTCGAACGTTTTTACCCGTGCGACCTTGGTTGAATAGTCGCGGGAACGAAAGGCTAGTGAGTGCTCGTCGTGCAAGACACGCTAAAGTCGGATCATGAGGCGGCAGAAAAGTTCAGTGAGGTCGACCGATTTTTTAGTGGCGCTCTCAAGTAGATCATGCTATCAGCTGCATCAAGAAGTCGTGAATAGAACAATCTTGTGCGAAATCGTTATCACATGCAGCCTGAGTGGGTTTCAGCGAGGGCCGAGACGTAGGATGAGCACTTCCCAGGCCAGTTCGTGATCCGTCCATTGAACATTCAGCGCTCATGCGCATCAGGGGTTCTCACCTCAAACTCAAGAAACAAAGGAACTAAAGTGAGCCACTCTCCGCAGCGGTATGTCGTTCAAAAAATCCTCGCCACTTGCGAGAAGTGCAAGCAAACTCCGGAGCCGTATCGACGCAGGTGACGCCCGCGGATGATATAAATTGTAGCGCCCGCCCTGTCCTCCATCGTTCTAAACCACATTCTCCATCCCATTTCGCACTGTTGATATTGCCTTCAAACGTTGCCTTCACGTTCTGAAAACCGCGTCGTATCGCTCAGACCACCAAGCCACATTCGCAACGCGTCTCTGAAACCAACAATAAGGCCACATCGCTTGTCTGTCCCACCACCTACGCCTTCGCCACTCGCACAATAATCACGTACAAGTAGATACAACTCCCAAACAGTACCTTTTTCGCGCTTACACCATCGACGCATCGCGTACAACCAACCGCCTCGCATACCAGACCACGATGCTCTCGGACAATACCCGCGCCACATCCCCCGCCTCGCCGGCCACAACGTGCGGACTGGCGGAATTACACGCCCTGAATACAGAAATCGCGTGGCTCCGCCGCTGGCTCAAAGTAACCACCGCTCTTGCATCCGACGCTCCCCCCGACCTCCGTGGCGTCGCGCAGCGAAAGCTCGTCGCCATGAGCGACCTGCTCGCAGAGAGAGAAGCCAAACGGGACCGACTGAACGCCGAGCTGTTCGACTCCGCGAGCGACTACGATGGTTATGCCACCGAGTCCGACATCGAAGATGGCCAGTCCAACGACGAGGAGAGTGGCTACGGCGGCGACGTTGACAGCGACGACGCGCAAGATCAGCTTCTGCTCATTCGCCGACGTGTCTCGCCGCCGTTCGAGCATCGTGAATATCGCGTCGTGAGCCCTCCGTCAATATTCCTGCAGAACCGAGGTGAGCTCTGCTTATCTGATATTCGACTTGGATAAATACTGACCCCCTCCCCCTGCGTAGCTCTGGCTCGCTCAAGTCCTGAACAGCCATCGCGTATTCCCGAATACAGCTGCCAAGCACTCATAGATGACAATGCTCGACGAAGGACTCGTACAGCAGTATCCACCGCTGGCCAGTTCGCGTCGAACCGACTAGAAACGAATACAGCCGGACAAGGCGCCGCCTTGTCTCGCGATAACCTCCTCCAATACGACACACCTTCGGGCCGCGCCGACCACGTCTCAGCCCCACTTGCCATAAGCGGCTACCGGGACGCACCCGTGGCTGAGAGCCAGAGGGGAAAGAAGAGAGCACTGGAGGTCGAGGAACTCAAGGAAGAAAAGATTGATGAAGAGCCTGGGAAGGGGCACACTGCGAACAAGTACGATGACAGCGACAACGAGCGTGATGAGGAGAGTCGCAGGCCTAAGCGCAGCAGACCCAGCCCGTTCTTCTGCCACCCGTCTCGCCACGTGGAGAATCGTGACCGAGTCCACGCGGCAGGCGCTGTCAATGTCCCGACAGCCGCGCCCGCCACGCCTGTTGCTCCGCGTCCCCCTATGCCTGCCGCCCCTGTCGCTGCGCCGATCCCTGCGATCGTCGCGCCGGCCGCACAGCCGGCTCAAGATGCTTTCATCGTCATACCNCCTCCGCCTGCCTCT